GTATTTTTACAGTCTTTATTTTACAGTTAAAATAAATGTTTATCAAATAAAGTCTAATGTTACAACTAATCATGGATCCCTTTAAATAAAACTTGTTTCTTGCAAGGTTCTCAGTCCCTACAGATTAATTTATAAATGACAAATATTTCATTGTTTTCACACTTCTCTCACAGATGAAGCACTGAACAAAGCTAGAAACAACTCACCAGAAACACTACGTCCACTGGGTTTTGTTCCTGTTGTTTCAAACTGTACTCAACGGTGATTTCTTCTTTCTTTCCACAGCGAAGAGGTCTGATAGACGGATGAATCCTCAAAAATCCAACTGATAAACGAACGTGACTTAATCCATAAACTTTGAACTTTGAACGCTCGTAGAAAGCAATATTCTTCCATTCATGCTCCTCCAGTGTTGGTGTTTGACTCACCTAGTAAAAAAAATAGAGAAACAAACTAGAAACAAATGCATTTCTGGCAAAAATGTAGTGTGAATGTCAAGCACTGAAATTAAATTTTTGAGGTCAAAACAAGCAAAATGAAAATTTATACAAACAGAAAATACATTTAAAAAAGAACACAAGCTAAAATGACTAAACCAGCAGCTAAAATCTAAGGTTATCAGAACAGTAGCTGAAAATAAAATTTAGCAGAACACAAACTGAAACCAAAAATTAGTAGAACTAAAAGTAAAATTTAGCAAAACTAATCACTAAAAGATTATAGATGCATAAGAAGAAAAGATTTGTACAAATAGAAAACAATGCTTTTGAAGAAATTGAAAAGATCTGTTTTTATTTGGAAATGTTTTGTGAATAAAAATTAAAAAAACAAATTGAATAAAAGGTAGAAATACAAAGTTATTGTATACTATTCCTGATTGAGCCAAAGATTTTAATATATGGCCAGTTCACAGTACCAAAAACTATGTGGATGAACTTCGTAAACAAAACTCTATGAAAAGAAAATTATACATATGATAGTAAGATATTTGATGTAAGAGAACTTTTGCAGGATAAACGGACAAATGCTGAATCACACTGCTGTGTTAGAGCTGCTGTTGTTACTCACATGGATAACGACATCACCTCTAAATTTCTGTGTATTGAGGCTAAAACTGGCAACACCATGCTCATTGGTTGTGACGGTCTGCACATCATACCCCCTTTTACCGATAAGCACATACAGCGTCAAACCAGAGACAGGGTTGCCTTGGTAATCAACAGCTTTAACCTGTTAAAATCACAAAACAGTGCCAGTAAGAACGACTTGGAATATCAGAATTTCACCACAGCTGAACAGAACAAACTTACTTTTCCAACCAGATCTATTTCGTGGGTGTAAGTGTTAGGGATTTCAAGAAAAGACAGTCTTCCAATGAGATACGTTATCTTCATTCTCTCCCACTGTGTGTGTGAAACACCTGAGTATAAAAATGAAGACATGTTGCTCAAACACAACAGTTCCTCAATACCATAATGGATTTATTATTTAAAAGACTTACATGACAGCTTGTCATCCACTGTAGCACTGACATCCAGTACATCCRACAAAGCCTTTGGGTCAATACTGGTGAAGGATGACATTGTGAAGACAAACTTGGCGCAGCCTTTGTTGCATGCCTTTAATGATCATCAAACCATAAAAATAAAGAAAAAAGGTTAAATAAGTTATGAAAATGTAACAAAAGTACATCTGGTTAACTTTTGAGGTCAACTCAACTCAAGATGATCATCATAGCCAACTGACCTTAGGTCTCTGACAGATACTGAGCTTAAATTTGGTATGATTGCTGAGAGTCCTTCACAACAAATACTTTCCATCTCACCAAATATCATACCATGACATAATATTGTTTTAGTTTAAAGTTTGGCATGACAGGTGGTGGATTTTTATTTAAAGGATGCGTTAAACTTTGATTGAGTTAAACAGGTATCCTGTTTATTTTAGACTTGATCAGATCTGTGGTTTATTCAGTGCTCTGAGGTAACTTTATATGATGCTGTGTACACAAAACTGAACAAACCCTGTAACCGTCTGCACTGAATAAACGTTCTGCAGAACATATTTTCATCATTTATAAAAAGAACTTTCAACACCAAGATGAGATTGTAACCATAAAACCATACCTCTTCTCGTTCCGTCTTGCACGGAGAAGTCAAGCTGATTTCCTTGGAGATTTTCTGGATGAACGCAGGTTTACAGGCCTGGTAGTTTTTGAGAGGCCGGCAGACCCTCACTTTGATATCTCCTTTAACAGGTCTCCCATGTTTGTGCCTAAACGAACATAAAATGGTTCACTCATTAAAGGGAACCTGAATCCAAAGCATGCAAAAACAATCTGTCTTTTTACTTACTTTCCACATACTTGAACCTCAAACGAATCCTGTCCGA